GGGCGCGCCCGGGGGCCGAGCGGAGCGGGCGGCTCTTGGAGTCGCACTGTTCTCACCCGCTGTGCGTTGTCGAGTGCCGTCAGCTCCAGACCTTCTGTCCTTGCAGAAGGCACTGTAGGAGCGTCGCCTTCCTGCCGGGTGGAGGGCGCGGGTGAGCTGTCACCAGCTGTGGCGGCGGCGGGCTGTGGCTGTAATCAAACCCTTATTGCCACACACCTGACTCCAAGGGTTGGAAATGGCCCTCGGTATATACTGGTGTAGGTTGTAAGTCAGAGGCGAGTAGTTTATTATTTACCCGAAGGTATTTACCTGAAGAAGGGTGTTAGTAAGGACCAGGGAAGTGGTTTATGGTAAGTGTAATATTTGGAGGATTATTACTTACCTAATACTTGTTTGTATAATGGTATAGAAGTGGTTGGCTCATTGTTAAAGAAGAGGTTAGTGTTGAGTGCTCCTGAGTTCAAATACAGACTGAATCCAGGTTTTTCCAGCAGTGCTGGAAGTCAGATGTTGAGCTCGCTCCCAGAGTGCTTCCATCTCCAGCGCGGATCCTGCTGCCACCAGGTTTTGAAAGCTGAATCAGAGTGTGATGCTTAATACCTAGTAAATACTGTGGAGTGATTTGGGCAGTCGGTACCTCTGAAGGAAATCTGATGACATGAGGAGGTACTAGTGAGGTGACGGTCTTTACCAGCATGTGTGATACCTGGTGCTCAAAGACAAAGTGCTGGAAGTGGATGATCTATAAATGCCTTCAAGAATGATTGAAGCATCACACCCTGGATTGGTGTTCTTATGAAATCCAGTGCAGATGTTTGTTATGTCAAATGTAAACCCCTTCAATGTTGCACTATGAGACTACCAGAAAACCCCACGAAGCGACAGAACCCCAACAGTGTTTCTCTGACTTTGCTTTCAGATGGTGTTATCAGAAAAAGTGAACCAGCTGATGGACTGGACCAGTAAAAGATCCGTTATTCGCATGAATGGAGACAAATTTCGGCGCTTTGTGAAGGCACCACCCAGAAATTACTCGGTGATTGTGATGTTCACTGCTCTTCAGCCTCACAGACAGTGTGTTGTGTGCAAGTACGGGCTCCATTTAGTCCTACATTAGAACTTGAAAGTCATCTTATGCTTTGTCAGAATTAATTGACGTGTAGGATAAAGCTTCCCTGTACATGGGAGGAATATACTACACTAGACATTTATAGTAGGATTATCTTTGCAATTGGATGTGTGGGAATATATGAGTAACGTGTATGTGAGAAAACAACATAGTCATGAATTATTTATCTCCCTCCTAAAATAATTGCTGCTTTGCAGGAACAATACCCACACTGATGGGCTTCTGGGGGAGGAAAGGGAGGGGGAAAACTCAACCTCCCTGTCATGAGCTGCTGGAGAAATGTTTGTAGCGTTACTGCTGGCCAGAAAGTTGCTGTTAATGAAGATGCTGATTTGCACTTACTGAAGGATCCAGCATAGTATAATCGTAAATAACCATAGTATGGCTTTCATGTGTTAATCTGGAGGTGGCAGAGGTCCGTAAAAGATTAATTTTATACCTAGTTAGTTGAGATGAATTGGTTTCCCATCCTCTGACCTGGAGAAGAGAGCACACCTCTGCTTATTTTGGTGCTCTGTGGGCTAGCAAACGATGAGCTGCTGGGTCCCATTTCAGATTTCAATTAGAAATTACCACTGCTTGTGTTCATGGTCTCAAAACTTGCATTTAAAAAATCAGTGCTGCCAAATGCTTCACTTTGTTATTAGATGAGTCTCTGGCCTTGAACCTTTTCTTTAACACCAGAAAGTGAATACAAGGGCACATGTGGTGCTCCCTCTAATGGAGTGGGTGGCTACAGCTCCCTCAGCTGCTTTGTAACCTGTGTTGTGAACAAACCTATGATACAGCCTCTCACTTGGTGTGTTTTACAGGCAAGCTGATGAGGAATACCAGATTCTGGCAAACTCCTGGCGATACTCCAGTGCATTTACCAATAAGATTTTTTTTGCCATGGTAGATTTTGACGAAGGCTCAGATGTGTTTCAGATGGTAATGTCCTCTTGCTCTTCTATTGACACTGTGTAACCAGTCGTAGATCACAGTAATAGTTCATATAGTTTTGCAAACCTTAACATCTTGTTCTTAAGAGATGTTAATCCTATTTAAAAGCTACACAATTTAGGCAATGGTACTTTAATAAACGGAAGCTTTGGGACTGGAGAAGTGGAGAGGGATGTCTTATTATTCTTACTAAGTTTTCCCAAAGTATTACATCAAAAATTCCTTCCTCAAGCTATGGCCTTTATAGATTATTGTGCATATTCCTATTTGCAGATTTCTTTCCAAAAAGTAGTGTTTAGAGAAGAAACAGGTTCAAAAATCTGGAATGCTATGGGAAAAGCAGTGTTAGGAAACTGTATTTTGTAAGCAAGTACTTTCACCTGTTATAATCTCCTCTTAACTGGTCTGAATCTTTTGATTGGTAGCTGTAGATCTGAGTACTACCAAAGAAATGTCAATCTCTTTTAGGAATCATGCTCAGTTGTGTTTTTAAACACAAAATAGCTTATTCAGAAGGAACAATTTATTTCTAAGACTTCCAGAACAGCCAGTGACCGAGCTAAAAGAAGACAGCATGGAGCACGAAAGGGAAATAGCAGGAGTATATGGATTATTGTAAGAAATACAGGAATGCTGCTGTGTGCTGCCTTTGCTTGGTTTTTAATGTCAATGAAATCTGTTTATTGAATAGTTACTTTTTCGGATTGATTTAGTGGTGATGTTGCAAGATATAAACGGAACAGAATTGTGTTACTAAACAGACCTTTCATGCTGCATCTTCTGTGAATTTTCTTACTACAGCTGAACATGAACTCTGCTCCCACCTTCATTAACTTCCCTGCTAAAGGGAAGCCGAAGCGGGGTGACACGTATGAGCTTCAAGTGCGGGGCTTTGCAGCTGAGCAGCTCGCTCGCTGGGTGGCCGACAGAACCGATGTCAACGTAAGTGTGCACAGGCTTTCCCCATCACCACCCCTGCAGCACTCCCTTGCTGTATGATTCCAGCTAGGAAATATGTCCATGTCTGTGGCTAACAGTCTGCTCTTGGATACTCTAAATAGTTCTTGTCTACAAAATCCAGGTTTGGGCACATGACTGCACCTTTTCAGTTTCCTTACATTTTGCGTTCTAATAGTTGTGTAATTCTTTATTAGATAAGATGGTAAAACTCATCTTCTTCCTTCTCCTTTTTTTGTTCTAGTGTAAGAAAAACAGTCTTTAAATTATTGAGTAGGGAAGGGTGTATAGAAATAAAGTTGCAGTGGCAGGGCAAGAAGAATTACTTACTTCCCAAGTCAGATTTATTATGTATTATTATTATGCGTGTGTTGATATTGCCATTTCTTGTTAGCAGAAGTGTGGGCATAATGTATAATCTCAATAAGGGAAGATAATTTACCTTATTTTCACTTCAGATTCGTGTGATAAGGCCACCAAACTATGCGGGGCCGCTGATGTTAGGACTGCTGCTGGCTGTCATCAGTGGCCTCGTGTATTTGCGTGGAAGCAACCTGGATTTTCTGTACAACAAAACTGGCTGGGCTTTTGTTGCTTTGGTGAGTGTAACCCCTGGCTGCCTGTTGGCATGAGTTTTGTAGCAGTTCTAGTCCTTAAAAGCTTTTGTATTTAAAGATGCTTTAACCTGGTAGAGAAAAATGAGGTGTGTTTAGTTTTACTTGTTAGTAGTTTAATATTATTTGATCTCAGTCTTTTCAGCTCAATTAGTGCTTGAATGGATGCCTTTTACACAAATAAAAGGCAGGACAATGCTTAGCCTAAGGTTGTATTGCAGTATGTTTTGGTATGAAATGAAAAGAAATTGGGTAAAAACCTCAGATAATAAATCCTTATTAAATAGTGTTTCTTCTTTCCTTTTCAGTGTTTTGTGTTAGCAATGACATCAGGCCAGATGTGGAACCACATCAGAGGCCCACCCTATGCTCATAAGAATCCTCATACAGGACAAATGGTGAGTCTTTTCTTCACTTCCTTTTCTACATTTTTGTTGTATTTCTACAGGATAAGGCTGAAAACAGGCAAGTCAGAGTGCAAATCATGTTCTTGGCTTCTTTTCTTTCTATGCCAGTGAGGTTAACCTCTCCTGCAGTGAGCATGGCAAAGCAGAGATGTGTTGATTAGTTCAGAAAGGATCTGTCTTCTCCTAATAAACACTTGTAAAAGTGAGGTGTGTGGAAACTTTTATAATTCCAGGAATCACAGAAAGCTAAGAAGGGACTAAGATAATGCTCTAGGGTAAAGAGGGCAGAATACAGAGTAACTAAAAGCATTTGCTAACAAGTTATTTGGATGCAGGAGTTGCCCTCCTTGCTTTACAACCTAAGGTAAGCATTTCCTGTTGTTCTCCATCTCTTCAAAATGCAAAGAGGTGTTTTGGAGGAAGCACAATGACAGTGCTTTTTTGCTTAGGTTCTGAGGGTAGATCATTTTAGATTACCTGATCTCTTCCATTCCTCTGACCTCCTATGTGTCTTTTAACCATTCCTATTTGGTTTTGTGTTTTCTTTTCAGCATTTATTTGCCTTTCTCTGTCTTGTCCGTATACTGGTATCTAGTGAGGAAGAACCATGATAGTTCTAAATTGCTGACAGCAAAATAAAGTTGTTTGAGTCTTACTTGCTAACCTGTCCTATTGCTGAGGCAATTTCGTGTTGAATCTGGCCTTTTTAGCTCATACCCCATGTAATGACTTCCACATAAAACCATCTTTCTTTGGGAGTCTTGAGGTAAATTAATGTCTAGTGACCTTAGTCTTATGAAATCTCATTCCTGGGAGAAACAGTTTTAACATGACTTGAAACAAACTGCTCTGTATGTAATAAAGAATGTGAAACACTCTGAAACCAGACAGAATATCGAGAGCATTGCATCTCTCCAGGTGCTTACATACCACATCCTGGCTTTTCTCATGGATTGTACTCAGAAGGGAATTAATTTGGTGAAATGCCCTTTCCTGCCTCATTAGGTGGGTCAGGCCCTCTATGTTCTTCCATGAAATGTGGATGTGCTTATCTGCTTCTCAAGGATTCAGAAATGGTATTCTTTCACAAACTGCAAATTTTCTGTTAACCCAGTTGGTTAGTGAACTATTAAGGTAAGTAAAACCAGCCCAGCTTACTGAGTGCAAGTTCTCATGTGCTAAATGTTTTCTTCAAATGCTTCCTTTTATTCCTTCTGTTTACATAATCCCTAAAGCCTTTCTGAGACTGAGGAATGCTACTGGTAGTGATGTGCCTTTTCCTGGTGTGCCATGAAAAAGGTTTCAAACGCTTGGAGCCAAGTGAGTGGGGTCTGCATCCAGATTGAAGAGACTGACCCTAAGCTGAGGAGCAACGTACATAACCTAAGAATCCAAGTCAGGGAATGGATCAGACTTGGCTCACAGTGGGTGCAGGAGGGCATGATTATGACATTTTGCCCTACTGAACAGGGGATCTGGACCATGAAGGTTGTAGCTACACTTGCACTTACACTCGGAATGGTACTTTGGGCTGATTGTGCCTGTTAATAGAAGGATTTTTGATGCTCACACAGCTCCCCCAAATCAATGGTCAACAGATGAAGTTGTTCATGTTCCAACTTCTGTTTGTCTCCAGAAAGAGGCAGTGCAACACCCAGTTCCGAGCCCTATAGTGGTTGTTAATCATGTCAAAGTTGACTCCAGTCTTTTCTAAATTCAATTACTCTTTGTCTCTTACAGAGCTATATCCATGGAAGCAGCCAAGCCCAATTTGTGGCAGAAACACACATTGTTCTTCTGTTTAGTATCCTTCCTACTGAGAAGTATGTGGTTGGTGACGAGTTTTCTGTTAGCTTATGCTGCTGCCTTCTTTGTGAGTGTGCTTTGTCAAGGCTTGAAGCTGTCACCTAATACTGATGCAGAAGCTTGCTGAGTTGACAGCTATGCTTTTTCTATGCCAGTGATCTTTAAGTTGAAGAGAAAAATGTTTACTGCTTTCTCATCACCTTCTTCCTTGTTTAATGACTGTACTGAATACAGGGTTAAAGATGTGGATCTCTGGAATTGTAAGATTCCTCAGGATAGCCCCTGTTCTCTGTGCATGTCTCTTACCTTTCCAGTCTCACTTACTTACTTTTTGCTTTGGTGTTGAATTCCTTCCTCTGTTACTGATCTTTCTTCTTTTCTTTGCTTACCTTATTTACTTCCAATCTTACCACTCATTGATGCTAACAGTTCAGCATTTTTTCCACGCCATCAAGAAAGGCAAGTGGAAACTTGCAGCTTGAGAGCTTCTGCCTTTCTCCTTTGTGTAAAAATGTTTCTCTGGAGTCACAAGAACACTCTAAAATTCAACGTTCTTTTCTTCTGTTCCCACATGTGTGTTTTTGATCCATCACCTGTAACTTGAGTCATCTCTGACTCAAGCTTTTCTTGTCCCATCGCCTGTGTCAGCCTGTGCATTGTTCTGTCTTTTATTCAGGATTTTTTAATCTTCTTTAATGTTCTTTCTTGCAGCTGCACAGCCCCAAATGGTTACATTTTGCAGTACATGAGCATGCAGAACAGCAGACTTACTACAGGCACATCATTTCAAAACTTCACACAAACTACCTGTCCTTTTGACTGCTTGACAATGATTAACAAGTCTCTTTGGTTGCAACAACAGTGTTTCATTAACAGAGTGACTTGTGCTGATTTCTCCCCATTCTCTTGTTTTATCTATTCAAAATCTGTTTCAGCAAGTGATGCATTAGGATTTTTGTAATAAAATAGAGTAAGCAATTGACGTTTAAATACGCTGATGTTAAAAGAACTTCACTATATTTCTTTTTTTAGCTTAAAACCTCCATTTTGAAGGGAACTTCTGATCTTTTTCTGACTATTACTGTACTTCTGATGCACTCAGTCGAATTCAACTTAGAAACTGTGGCTGTTAATTTGTGTGATTGCAATCCATCACCTAATGGAACCAATCTGCCCATTACTGGAGGCATTTAAAATGGTAGAGGTTGGCCAGGTTCCTGGAGGTTGAAGTCACTTTTCTCTTGTGCTGAAGGCAGACTACATCTGAAGTGGAAAAGTTTCTTAATGGTCCCACTGCAGTCAATTATAAATAGTTCTCATTTCAGGAGGAGAATCAATCCTGAGCATCTATAGGGAAAAGGAATGAAATCTTGAGCAATTATGTCTTTTGTTCCACTGGATCCACTGCTTTGCTGGGATTCCTTCTCTGCAAATGTCAGGCAGACACTGTCTGCAAGTTGTCTGTGCTTCCTTAACTGTGCAAGCTTCATTTTTGTTTTAATTGAAGAGTTCTAAGACTGAAATATTGCTACTTGAAATATATCCTATTAGCTTAAATATTGCATGCATTTATTCATTCTATTAGCTGAGCAAAATGCAGAAGTCGAGTTCTTTTGGGGAATTTCCAGTGGAGCAGAACAGCAGCAGGAGCAGACTGAGCTCTCTGGGAAGGAATCCTGCTTCATTACAAGCTACGATAACAAATGTCTGGTTTTGATTTTGTGTCAAGACAATCTTTGTGTCTGTTTTCCCTTAAAAGTTGTCCTGATGAATGCCTTTCAGTTGTCTCCCCCCTCAGCTGCTGCTCTGGGGGAAGTCTTTAATTTTTCCAGTGAGTTTTAAGCCCCTAGGTATGATGTGGGAGCTGAATTTATAAGATTTGGAAGGAGTGTATTATGTTGAGTCTATTTATCTTGTTGATTTAGCCTTAAACAGCGTTTGTAGATGGTGGTGTTACTTTAGGAATGGTCTTCCTCCATGAAGCTGCTACTTCTGACATGGATGTGGGGAAAAGAAAAAGTAAGTACTGATACTGTTCCCTCAAAGAGGAGGTGTATTCAGTAAAGATTTTTGATACACTATTTAATAGTGATGCTGTTGCACTGGGGGGGTTTGTACGTTTCCCAGCTCTAAGCAGAAGTGAATCGCTCTGTTCTTCAGCAGCATTTGGAGTCGCTTAACAAACTGCAGGATAAACTCAAAGTCCTTTTGGGAGGTGGGGAGATCTAAAGATGCTTTGCAGCATTTTTCTACTCAGGGAGAGAAGGGACTTGGTTTCTCTTAAAAGCAATGGTATAAAATTGATTTACAGTAGGAGTTTGAAAGAAAATGAGTGTTAATTTACTTATTCTCAGTGACTTTAATGGAGGTCTCATCTGGCCAAATCTGTAAATGTCACAGAATGCTTTTGAAAACCCCAGTTGCTGTGGTGCGTTCAGGACAGCTGTCACAATAACTGAGTCTTGTTCTGCATCTCCTGCAGTTATGTGTATTGCTGGTATTGGCTTGGTGGTGTTGTTCTTCAGCTGGTTGCTATCTGTCTTCAGATCTAAGTACCATGGCTACCCATACAGGTACGTCTCTTCTGCTGCTTCAGTCATTGTTTTCCTCTGCATTCCCTTACAGCTACACCACCATAAACTTTTTTTAAAGGAAGTGTGTAAAATGAGGACTTAAAAATGAAGAGTGATCGTGGAAGTTTGTGTGTGGTTTGCTTCTTAATCTGGGCTGGATGCTTATGAACGAATCCGTTCCTACCTCGTCTGGTGATACTACTGTAAACCAGAACAGTGAAATAGGAGAAGGGAATATTTTTCTGAAATCTAATTTGGTGGGAAATAATCTTTTAAAAGTGCTCCATTTGCTTCTTAAGGAGCAGCAATATTGGTCAATATGATCACCAGAAACAGTGGTGTTAGGATAGCCTCATTTTTCAGTCTGGCCAAAGGGAAGATGGTGGTAGTCTCCTCCTCATGCCATTACATACTATGAAATATTTCTGTTTTCGTAGTGACATCTCAGCTAATTTATACTGAAAACAAGTGTCTCCCCTACTCTACTTTTCCTCCGTGTTCATACATCTTGATTATTAATCCTTATTTGTGAGAACAAGGAGGATGGCTGATGCTTTAAAGCTGCATACATTTAGGGATTGTGTCTGTAAAGAGTCTAACACTACTGTGTGTTTAATATATGTATGATTGGCATAGATACCTTGTGTGGTTTTACTAGGTTCTATGCATTTTGAAGAAGTAGATACATGCTGAGGGACCAGCTTCTAACCCTAGTATCATAGAATCAACGAGGTTGGAAAAGACCTTTAATACCATCACGTCCAACTGTTACCCCTAGGACTGCCAAGGCCATCACTAAACCATGTCACATCTCAGCTTCTGCAGAGTTTGATGTGTCTGGAAGACTAATCCCATCGGCAACTTCATCCCCTTTCTATGAGAAGTCAGTTCTTACTTAAAAGTATCTAAATTATCAAACTTGTTATTTCATAAGGACTTTTCTCGAGACTGGGAGAGAGCTGAACTTATTCCCTGTTTAATGACTGGTCACCTTTTATTTTGGTCTATGCAATGGTCTTAAGTACTTCTGCTAACTTTGTTGTAGGTAAGATGTAGTTGTCGTTGCTTTTGAGTTACTAGAAGATGCTTTTAAGCAAATTCTCCACGGCTGCTTGTGGCATCAGGCCCTGTTTCTCATTTGGATTTTCATGGCATATGTGAAAGCTGAGTGGGACGTTGCACACCTTTTGTGTCTTACTCATTTCTTATTAATGAGAATGTTTGTTATTTTGTTCCTGCAGTTTCCTCATGAGTTAAAGGATTCCAGAATCTGTAACATCAGAAAGGTGGCGACTCTGAAACGTCATGGAATGGAATGGAAGAGCTGATTATGTATGGTTCATGCTACCTCTCTTTATACTGAATGAGATAGTTAAACACTGAACCAAAGACGTGCAGTGCCTTACATGTAACAAGCAATTTGCTCTGAAGGACACAGAGCATTAAGATGCAATCTCTTTTCATAAGCTTTACATCTTTTTAAACAACTCTACTTCTAGTGAAATTCAGAACTTCATGCTTAGAACTACATGTCCATAGACTAACTAGAAACAGTACTTTAAATTCTGTTGGGTGACCTGTTCCCCATGTTTCTTTTTCCCATGTCACTTTATTTCCTGTTTGTGCATAGCAGGTGACAATCGTGTCTCTGTCATGCTTCTTCATGGTTGAGAAAACATCTTCATATACCTGGAAATCTTTTCCTTTGGTCTGTGTGCAGCCCCTGGAGCATACTGCAGATTCCCACGTGGAATGTGCATATCCTAGAGCTGTATCTCATTCTTGAGAAGAGTACTTATCTGCTGTATGATGCAGGAGGTTGTTCCACAGATTCTGATTCACAGAGAGAATTTTCAGCAGCCGGAACTGAGTTAATTCAATTATTCATTAAAACCTTTCTTTGCCAAATGCTGAAACTGCAACATTTAAGTTGCAAACGCTGGCTCTGAGCCAAAACAAAATATTCTCACCCTGAGCAACATTCAACCTCTCAAAAATAGAAACCAAACCTCCAAAGGCAACTAACTCTCTGTAGCCTGAGTTAAAAGTTGCCAACTGGCTTTCAAGTTCCTGCTCAGACTCCTGACAAGCCACCAGGTATTTGATTTTTGGTCCCTGTCTTAAGTTCTTGCATTCTCCATTTATCTTCTCTGAGACTGTATCCTCGGAGAGGATGTGGGAATGGGCAGAGGTATCTAATCCCAGGATAGATACTGTTACCCCCAGAAAGATTTGTTAGCCTTACCGTCAATGCGTGTGCTTTTTGCTCTCTCCTTTTGTTCTCTCATCTCACAAAGTACTTTGCCTTAATGAGTCTTGAGTGGAAGACATTGTGCCTCAGCCCGAACTGTTGTGTAGTTCAGCACTGGTACTGCAGGAAATCTTACAGCCTGATCAGTAATACTTCCTTCCATAGGCTGTGCTGGCCTTGGAGGTTACTAGTCAGAGGAAAATATGATGAGACCTTTATCTCCTGCTTCTGCCTCTCCCCTCTCTGAAGGGGTTACAGACTTTAGATTGAATCTGGGGAAGGACTAGATCGTTCAAAGTAGAATGTTATTCTTATGCAATTTTGCAGAATTAACACACATCTCAAGTGCCTTAACTTCACTGATGTAGTAGTTTGATGTTTCAACTTGTTGAGATGCATTTTTCAGTGCCATACGGAATGAGAAGCTGTAGTGGGAGGGATAAATTGTGTGCCTGGCTGCATTTTGGATAAGTTTCAATAAAATTTTTTAGTCTTAATCCATCCTCCTGTGTCTTTTGAACTTCAGCATAAAACAAATCAACGTATTTTATTGCATTATTGCTTCAATGTGTTGTTAAAACCGTCTGTATACAGTAGATAAGCAGAAGTGGACTGGATTGGTAGCATGTGTATGTTTATGTAGGAAATGGCTACAGGAGAAGATCTCTAGTATTGACAACTTGCAGCATAAGGGTTGCATGGTTTTTACTTGCTTTGACAGCTGTCCTGAGGTGAAAATCTTGGCTTCCTGGAGTCCTACACATATCAACCAATAGTGTTTCTGGAGGTGAGATCTGGTGAGCACTACAGATTGGACCGGAACAACTCTGGGTTGCTGGATCTCCTGCTTATTTTCCTGCCGTGATGGTACAATGCTTCCAATACACTTTTGGGTTGGTTGGACTTCAGTCACTAGCAGTGCAGGTGAAGGTGGCTTTACAGTCTCATTCTAACGTCATGTTTTCTCCTGAACTTTCAGAATTGTTTCTGATTTTTCTGAGATGGTCCATATTTTATCCTTTTAGAAAGCATCCCATCATCTATTGACTTTAAACATAACACTGGTGGATGGAGAGGCGTGTTGGCCTTCCACTTAGGGTGGTAGAGATGTTGAGGGGTTTGAGTCTTCCTCCTTTTTCCATACTGATACATGAAATGACAATAATGCTTACTTCTCCCAACAGCTTTTCTGCTCTCTAGGCTGACACTGAAGCGCATGGAGAGGGGAACAAGTGTGACAGTGGAGCAAAAGCAGATCGAGTGCTTCCAAGAACCTGTAGCAGATTTAGAAATGATGCAATTCTGGAAAGGTTTGACTTGTGCAGCAGTTGAGAGGTAATGGCCAGCTATAATCAGTGCCCAAAGTGATGCTCGGGGACCATTGGCATGTGTGTCTCACTAACTAGTTAGTGTAATACAGTTCTGGGCCAGTAGAACAAAGGTGGAAGAGGCAATGCATTTGAGAACTGGGATGCTAAAAAAACCCCAGGAGTTTGATGAGGCCATCTCCTTTAGAAAGTGAGTCATTAAACAGCTCAGAAGTACCATAAAAGCTCACCTTTAGAGACCACTTTTTATAATAACAGGAGGAAATGGTTGTTCTATAGCTGGAAATGGACTGTGTGGTTTTGTTAATGTGGCTGGTCTCAAAGATTGCTGCTTTCTCTGCCTTTGAGAAGGGGCTGCGGTGTATTTAAGAACTACTTTGGAATAATAGCTAGAAATAATTCAGGGAGTTTTCTGATGAGCCAAGCACAAGGCAAGATAGTAAATCTAATTGGATTAATCGAGGTAATGGTTTGTGTTATCTGCAATTTACTGGAAGCTCCTGTTTTCAAACCATTCTAGTGCTCAGCACAGAATGTGCTGTTTGGTGGTGCCTCATAGTCATTCCTGCACTTAAGCCTCTAACAGGGATGCTTTGTAAGCACGTGCTCTTCAGGGGCAGAACTGCTTAGTCCTCCTGCAAGGTGGGAAATGTGCTCAGCTCTGTGTCTGCTGGGTGTGGATTGGTGCTTGTGCAAATAACCTTTGTTAATCCCATGGCTGGTGATGTCTGTGTGGCTGGGTGTGTACATGTGCAACTGTGTGGTTGAGATCCACCTTCAGACAGGAGGGTAGGAACAAGTTAAACCAGCAGTGTCTGGCAAATACGATCAGGTAGTGGCTTTAGGAATAAAATGTAGATGCTTTTATGGTCACAGCTATTGGGTATCTCACTAAATGTACAGCAAGGGTTATTCCGAGCCTTGTTAAAAGTGTGTAAAAGTAACAGTGATTGTTCTCAATCTATATTCCTGACAAGCCAAAGTAGACGTTTCAGAAGTACTGCGGAAAGTCAGTTGCTTAACTTCTAAACACTGAGAACATCCAAAGCAAATCAGGTGCCTGGTTTGCTTATGCTTGTTTGCACACGCTGCCCGTGGCATCAGATTATGCCAGATCCTGGCATCTTGTCACCAGACTTCATCAGGAGAAACAAAGAGTTTGTAGCGTTCCTTTATGGTTCATTAGCAATGGTTTCTAATAGTCTGTTTGAGAAACTATCCAGACTATAATGGATTTCACTTATGCTGAAAACAGATTGTTTTCAGAAGTTAAAATTTCAAGGTGCTTTGAGAAATTAATTCTCACAAAGGATACGGAAAAGTGCTGGTACTTTATTTCTGTATTAGACCTTGATGTTTGCTGCTTTCTCATGCTGAAAAGGTTTAATTATCAAATTCAGACCACTGCTCAACTCATTCCACACCAGCACTTTGACCTTTATCAGGGGGAATGAGTTAACATCAGAACAAAGAACAATCCCGGGCTCTTGAGTAAGCAGTCACCCATTTTCATCTTCTATCCTGCTTTTTCCCTGACGAACAGAGAGGGAGTTTCACTGCAGATAATCTGCTCCATTTGAAAGCTTGGATCTTGACCATTCCCATAAAATGAATTTAAGCACAGTGGTTTGTTGTTCTGGATTAATGGTTCTGGATTAATTATCTTTCATTACAGATAATGATGTGAAAAAGATGTATATGTAGTTTGTATTTCTAGGTCAGGAGCACAAGAAGTTATTAAAATATTCTCTTGTCAATTGATAACTATACATGTCTTTCAGCCATTATTCTTCAAAGTAGGCTAATATCTACTTAAGAAAACTAATTACTGTCTTTATGGGGAAAAAAATAATCAGTGTGATGAGACTCTACAGCGGCCCTTGGTTTGTCCTGCAAACGAAGCCCTGAATCCTCATTCTTCCAGGTCTATGCACAGATTCTGGTGCGTTGCTACGGTCTGGTTTTTGACAACCTCATGGTAGTGTCAGGTTTGGTCTTCTGGAGTAACTGTTGGGAGATGGAAACATTTCCAGTCTCTTTATCTTGACCTTTTCTCCCAATGGGTTTTGAATTGGAGGCAATTAAATTGGGGTTTTTTTAAATCGCGTCCAAATACCTTCTTCCATCTCCCAAGGAAATAGTAAAAGACAAAATAACTATAGAGTAATAGTAATAAATGTATCTCTGTAGTTATGCTGAACCAGTAGGATATTAGTCCATAAAGCTAAATCCCTTAAAGAGGAAAAGAAATGTTTTGTGTTCGTATTTTAATCGCCCAATTGGAATACTAGTGCAGAGCTAAGAAAGGTGATGCTTTGGCTTAAATTCATCTGTCTGGGGGCAAAAAAGTAGAGTGGCTTTTTGCAAAGGTTGAATGGAATTTGTGGCAGTCTGTTAACATGGATTCGGTTTTTTTCCTTCTAAAATTAACTTGAAGGCAAGTGATGCTGTGGTCTTTTAGAACTGTAGCATTGACCATGAGAAAGCCTTTGGTACAAAGCTGTTAGTAAATCTGCCGTTTGGTGTAACTAAACTTCAGCGGACACAGGGTGCAGGTTTTGGGTAAAATGTTGACTTCTAAACCAAATTGGCTTTCGACCTGTTTGTCCATCCTGGGATGTGTAAGTTTGTATGTGCTGAAGCGTGGAAGTGCCGTTTACTCTATGACCATTGCCTTCTGGAATGAAATGGGTGCTAAGGGTGACGAGGCTATCACGATACTTCTTCTTGTATTTCACATACTGCTTTATGAAACCAGGTAAGTTGGGTTTGGGTTTCTTTGGGTGGTTTCTGCAGAAAAATAGATTTTCAAACCTGAAAGTTCTTTTTAGGTTTATATTGAATGAACCTTCATGTCTTTCTAACAAGTGAGTAACAGTCGTCACCCGTTTCAGTGTCTGGACTTGGGTTTGGGGGTCCCTTCTGGTTCGGTCATGTGAGGAAACGGAAGTCGACATGACAACCCCACGCAGCGGAGTTCTGCAGCCTTCTCCCAGAAGCACGTCTTTCCTTTCCTTCCAAACAGGGGTGTATTCCAGCCCTCTTCACGCAGATTCGGGTGTCCGAGGGGAACGTGGAAGCTGCTGGTGCAAGCAGGGAAAGTTATCTTCGCACACTTACATGAAGTGTGTGTTTCCTGATCTAGAGCATCTTCTGCTTTTGAAGACGCTCTGGGCTGAGCGAAGCTCTACCTGGCAGCGTAACCGCGGTGTCGAGCAACACGTTCAACCCCCATAATCTTCACTATAGCTCA